ACATCTAACTACTCAATGTAGAGATTTTTAATAGCTACTAAGCTCAACACCACTCTGATGGTTGTAAGCTTCATAACAGGAGAAATTATCTCTGTATAATCTACTTCTTCCCGCTGTTGAAACTCTTTTACAACTAATCTAGCCTTACACCTCTTGCTTCCATCACTCTCCTGCTTAACCCGATAGACCCATTTGTTATGTAAGGTTTTCTTCTGCGTAGGTAGCTGGGCTAACTCCCATATCACATTAGTATATAGAAAATCCATCTTTCTTACATTGTATGCTCCCACTACTGAGATTCACTAACTTACATAGCCTCCTCATAGCATTCTGGTTCTTCGCTATCTGTCAAAAGCAAATAATCTAGTGATGAAAGATATCTGGGATTCAATTTGGGTATCATGAATGACCTTCTAAGCTTCATACCTTGGGTAGTCGTCTCTGCACCTGAAGTCTACTCCGTTCTTCGGTCAGAACTGATCTTGTCACCGCTATCTGAAAGGTCCTCCATATCTATGTACTCGGATCCACCTACATCCGTAGTGATGCTCCCACTGCTTTAGCTATCATTGGTATTGTTTTTGTCCTTGTACATCACCTCCTCATTGAATATGACGTCTCTGCTCCTGATGATCTTTCTGTTCTTCTCATCCCACAGACGATACCCGAACTCATCAATGTCGATCAAATGAATGTACACTTCTGTGACCTAGCTTCTAGCTTGTTCCTGACATGATCGCTAATATGAACATATGTCATACAGCCAAATACTCGCAAGTATAAGAGATTAACCTTCTTGCCACTCCAAACCACATCTAGAATCCTAAAATCCAATAGAACTGATGGCTCATGATTAATCAAGTAAGCTGTTGTATGCATCACGTCTGTCCAAAATATCTTGGGTAGACCTGTATGTAGACGCATGCTCCTCGCACGCTCTGTCAAAGTCATGTTCATCCCCTCTACAACGTTGTTCTGTTGCGATATCCCTGGAGTAGTCCTCTCCAAACGAATCTCATTTAGATCACAGAACCTCTTGAACTCCTCTAACTCGTATTCTCTACTATTGTCTGATCTCAGACACTTCATATTCAGATCTGTCTCGTTCTCCACCATGGCTTTCCACTTCTTGAAGATCCCGAACACCTCTGACTTATGCTTCATGAAGTATACTCACGCCTTTCTCGAGTGATCATCGATAAATGTGACATAGTATGTCGAACCGTTAAGAGAAAACACGCTAGCTGGGCCCCATACATCTGTATGAATAAGCTCTAACTTATGAGATTTACGTGGTCTTTTATTTTTCTGAAAGCTGACCCTCTTCTGCTTCCCGTAGATGCAATCCTCACAAACACTAACTTCTACTGAATCGATGTCATTTAGCTTTCCTTTTGAGTGTAGAATATTCATTCCCTTCTCGCTCATGTGTCCTAGCCTATTGTGTTACAGATCTGCACTCTTCTTGCCAGCTACAATTACGAGGGTGTCACTCGGATGTGAAGTTAAATAGAGTGTTTCGGTTTTGTACTACCGTTAGAGATTTTTCACGAATCCCCGGTGAATGTTGAAATATAGCATTCCGCTCTAAGCTGACTAACCGAATCAAGATTCCTCTTCAGTTTTGATACATGTCTGACATTCTTCAGATTCTACTTAGAGCCATTCATCTGAATCTGCATGTCACCTCTTCTAACAATACTGCAAGACTCGTTATCCTCCAAGTACACTTTTTTAAAATCCCCTGCTATATAGTTCTAAAGAACCTTTTTATTAGCAGTGACGTAGAAAAAGGCTCCTAGATCAATTATCCATAAATCAGAATCGTTGTCCATAGCAAGGATGAAGACATCTTGCACAATATGAACCTCTTGTTCATTCGCATCCTTCTTTTGTGCTTTACAGATTAAAGATATATAGCCCTCCTGATCATAGTTCCAACACTTTTCTTTGATAGACCTAACCTTCGAGATTGACCTTTTCTTCTTCGACTTCGACCGATTCCTATTCTAGTTTCCCTTCTTTTGGCTTCGGACTCTCTGTTCGAGATTTAGGACCGAACCTGAACCTTCTGATTCAGACAATTTCCTTCTAACCTCCTCGAATAGAATCATACTAACAACCTCTCTTAGCTTCAACTTCTTTCCCGCCGAGTTGCTAATTACGGTCACGCAACCTGCCCAACTATCCGGTAACTACGATAGAATCAATAGGGCATGCACTTCATCATCAAATGTGATGTCTACGGAGATAAGTTGATCAACAATTGTATTGAACTTGTTGAGATGCATCGTGAAGGAGCATCATTCTGCCATCTTGAGGTTAAAGAGCGTTTTGTCAAGATGCACCTTATTTGCGACTGACAGTTGCTCGTACATCTTCGTGAGCGTTTCTATAAACCCCACCGTCGTCTTCTCCTTCAATATATTATGGGTGACTGATTTGGCAAGCGACAATCGGATCTGCCCTAGAACCTTTCAATCTAATATTTCACATTCCTCATCTGATTTCTCCTTCTTTCCTTTAGTCTTGCCCATCAACGGGCAGTAAAGATCCTTCTGGTACAGATAGTCCTCCATCTGTTACTTTCAGTAGGCGAAGTCTGACCCATCAAACTTTTTTATCCTTGATTTTCTTTCCTCTACCATGCCTCTCGCACAAATCTTCTGAACGAAGCTCTGATACCAGTTGTTGGAGATTTGAAACACGCAATCGAACCCATATCCTTCCGGATCTTGTGCTAAGAGTTTAACAAGTAGGAAAATCACCGCAAATAAAGAAAAATTACAGGAAAGATAAATAAGAAGGAACACACCAGACTTAACGAGGTTCGGCAACGTGCCTACGTCCTCAGGAGCCACACCACATAATTCTTTGATTAATTAAAGAAGATTACAATGCCCACAAATAGGTTTTTATCTCTTTGAGATCTCTCTAAAAGAATCCTCTCAAAACCCTCTTTTTCTCGTGTTAACATAACCTTAGAAACGTATTAGGGAATATATATAAACCCAGTCCAAAACAGAATCCCAAAACAATTATGAAACTGGAAAAATGGATTTCGTTCGACCGGACCATGTGAGTTGGTCGACCGACTAGAACGTTAGTTTCTTACAGGGTCTTTGTGCACGTTTTCGGTCGACCGGACCATCACCTTCGGTCGACCGGATGACCACTCTCGGTCGATCGTCATCAAGCTTCGATCGACCAACCAGAGTGAGTTTCTTGGGTTGTTTTCCTGTAGTCGATTCGGTTGATCGGACCAAGCTTATCGGTCGACCGATTTGGGTTTTTTTGCTTCTTTAATGATTTCTTCTTTAAGTTTTGGTCTTCACACTTCCAAAACCAACATAATGGTGCATTAAGGCATAAGTACCACAGGTTTAAAGTTTGAACTTGGGGTCCAAACACAAACCCACTTAAGGGATATGCATACTTCGAATGGGTTTGGAATTTGAATTTCAGGCATGCTCACATAAATTTATAAGATGCATTATGAGTTCTAGAACAGTAGGCTCACATACAACTCCATTAACTTATTTGCATTTATTAACTTATAAGTATGTTTTTCTGTTTTATATGTTCAAATACTTGCAAAGAGAATGTTGAATATATACACTTTTAGATGTGTAATTTTAATATTATACCTGATTTTTGTCATTTCTTATAATGTTATTGACATTGGTAACCTGTATTGCTATCATGTGTAGACTATGTCACGTTATATTAATTTTATGACATCATATTAATTTACCATAACAAAATAACTGTCTTATGTGGTACCCATATCCTTCCTATACTACTATAAATTAGCATAAAATACACCCAGGTAGAAGTACTCAATGCGGCAAGCACATAATAGTTATGTTTCATTTAAAATCCACAATATAGAAAGAGTGAAGCTGGAGACTGAAGCAAAAGTGAGGAGTTAATTTTGTGAAATAGCTACATAATTGTATATTATGTTGTATCCTTATCTCCTTCCTATACTACTATAAACTATAGTATATAACCACGTGGAAGCACTCTTTATCTTGCAACATGATAGATATCCCTCAGGACAAATTTTCAAAACCAATCTGTTTTGAATTTTATTCCTAAAAAAGACTCATTTCAAACTTAATTTCAAAAACCAATCCAATTGGCTGAAACTGGGTCGGTTTTTAAAAAAAAAGTTACCGAACTTCACGGGAGTTGAAGTCCCGTGAAGTTTTGTTATATAAAAACTTCACGGGACTTCAACTCCCGTGAAGTTTGCGAACTTTTTTTTCAAAAACCGACCCAGTTTCAGCCAACTGGGTCGGTTTTTGAAATTAAGTTTGAAATGGGTCTTTTTTGGGAATTTTGTGACAATAGGTTGGTTTTGAAAATTTGTCCTTATCTCTCATTCACAAGAAAGATCCAAAACATCAAAGTAGAAAAAAGAGCAAGAGTCACTATTACGCTGATAAAATTATGTTGTTGATAACTCCAAAGGAGGGGCATCACTGAAGAGTTAAGAAGTAATCAAATCATGCAGCCTCAATGAAGATATGAACTGAGATCTAGAATTGAAAAAAATATATATGATGTTCATCTCATGCTTTACTTGAAAATGTTAAAGGTCTTTCACAAAAATAGGAGGATATAGAGACACATCAAATGTAGGGGTGTAATTGAGGAAACTGAAGTTTCAAATATTCAAATCATGGTCGTATTTTCTGGTCGCCAAGAAAGGTGGAGCCTCTTGGAGTTTTATGGTAATATAAGAAACTCTGGAGAACTCATGAAATTTGGTCATGTAATATAAATCAAGTGCTCCTTTTGACTTGGGATCACATGCATGTGTCTGGATCAGCTAGAAGGTGCATTGCAAGATGCAAAATGAACTATCTGGAGTAATATATCATACCAAAAACACATGGAAAAAACATATGGACGGGATGCTTCAATAAGATATTATATCATTTTATAATTAAGGAAGAAATACATTAGAACAACATATGGATGAATACACTTGCCTTTTCCTGAAGCTCAGTAATTGAATCAAATAATAATTTGTTCTGCATAACAAGAAAGTTTTGAAAACTTTAGAACTACCATATTTGACACAAATTTCTCTACAATGTTAACAGGAGGACAAGTAATTAACTTTTCAAGGAGGGGAAAATTGACAAAGGTAGCTTTACCTTCCTCGCTCTTATATGCTTTAAAGCATTTTCAAGCTGCTGCTCCAGTTGTTGGAGTTCTTTTACACTCAACATATCAAGCTCATCTCCCATTAAATGCCTGAAATTATGTAAACAAAGCTTCTTGGCTGCATAAGTTTACACAAATTTAGTTTGAGATTTTGACAACAGTATCTTCATTAGTACCTTTGGCTTTTCTGTAAAGCCTCAAGCCTTGCTTTCAGCCTACCATATTCATCGCACCACCTTCCCTGCATTGAGGATTTCATACAATAGCTCAGGAATCTTGTGAGTTGTACAAGAGTAGAATTTTCTTAAGGTATCACAGAAGAGAAACAAAGCAATGAGATAAGAACTTTCAGAACATGATAGTTTGCATCATAATTCATCAGTCAGTTTCTACCTGTAATTCAGGCTCTGAAGCCACAAGAGCCTTTTCTGCATAGGAACATCGTTCATAGCGTTCAAGAATTCTTTCCATACTGCAAATAGAAACCAATAAAAGAGTGTTTATATTTATTTATTTTATCTACAAGAAGATGAATCTAATTCAGACTTATCACAATCTTTCATTTGAAAATTGTAAACTTTTTCTTCAAGGCATAAACATTGTTCTTCGTGTGTATCCTAAACCTTACAGATGCTGAAGATATATAGAGTATGATAACTTTCAATGGAGAAAACCAAATTTTGACCTTTATATTCAAAAAAAATCAGAAAGTCCTTCAAAGCAATTTCTGGAATCATTCAAACGTAGTTTCATTTGATTCAATCAATTCAAAGAATGAGCTTCCTTCACCACGGACTTGAAATTATTTGTACCAATTTGTTACAAAATCCAATAACAAATGAATATCGAGATCAAAGTCAATTGAAGGATGTCTGACATCCTTTGACAAACAACAGATGATTCCCTTCTAGAGAACAATGACCCCCTGATGGCTGATCTCAAAGCTCTCTCAAAGTTAGTCCTAAACTCTCACAGTGTTATCGAGGCGCAAGACGTAATGCGGGGCGCAAAGGTCCCTTACGCGCATCATGCGCAAGGCGCACAACAAGGCGCGCGCCTCACTAACTGAGGCGCATAACTCAAATTAATATTTACCAACATCATAAGACAGAAACATATAAGCAACATATTAGTTACCTACATCCAAAATTATGAGAATATCAACTTAAATCATTAATTATGCTAACTGAATTTTTAAAGTAACAAAAAAGATACAAGAAACATGTATTTAAATCATCAAATTAAGTGATTAACAATTATGAGCATATGTTTATAAATTGTCACATAAAAAGACTAAGAAATATAATTAACAAACATGACTGTTTATAATTTCTAGTTAGTATTCTTAATTGATATTTGCTACTTAGCTTGAAAAGATGAAGAATGAATGTAATAATTACATATTTACATGTTCATAATTTGCTATTAGCATGCTAATTAGTGAAGGAAGTTACAATTAGCAAACAAGTATACTAAATTACTAATTATTGTTTTCTTTTTATAGGTTAAACATGAAAAGATGAAAATAGATTAGCAACTAGTAAGAAAGAGTATATTACATGATATAAATATGTAATTATGTAAATTATTTAAAAAAATAGAAGAAAGAGTATGTTACATAACACAGGTACGAGGCGCACGCGAGGCGCAAGCGAGGCGCACGCGAGGCGCGCGCCTCGCTGCGTGCAGCGCCCCGCCTCGCGTGCGAGGCGCATTTCGCCCAGGCTGAAGCGCCCCGTGCCCGGGGCGCGCCCGGGGCGCGCGCCTCAATAACACTGAACTCTCATCTAACAAATATTTATAGAATTCTATAAGGAGGAGAATTTAAGTTGTTTTGTTTGGGAGTTTACTAAGGGAAAGAATGGAAAGTTAAATAATGGAAAGGAAAGATAGGGAATGGAAGTGAAAAGATAAAATATTGTTTGTGAGTTTAGTAAGATGAACAGAAATAAATTTTTTACCTTGTTTGAGAGTTTTAATAAAGAGGAGGGGAGTGAAGTGAATATGTACAGGGTTACATAAATGCCATTACATATTGGATGTGAGTATATATTAGCCATTGGATTTTAATGTCATAAGGATATAATTGTTTTATCACATTGTAAAATTTTACATTGATTTCCATTCCATTCTCTACCCCCAAATTGGAGGGGAGGAAAATGGAAGGAAATTTAACCTTCCATTCCATCCTCTAACCCCTCAAAAAACTCCCAACCAAGGTGAAATTAAAATTTCACTTTAACTTCCATCCATTAACCTCCATCCAAACAAGATGTAAAAGAATTACAAAAAACAAGCCTTCAACTAGTTCAACTTCGAATAAGATTTTTCAACTAAGGCACCTAGAAACGTCTGTCAGACATGAGAGAGAGAGAGAGAGAGAACTGTTAGATAATTCAAATGTAGAGATTTCATTAGCTTCATGTGTTTTTGGTTTATCATTGATTTTGGTGTTTTGTCAAAGAAATCTAGAAAGTCGCATGCATGTAAATCATGTCATGTGCGTTTCAGACTTGTGCTTTGAATAAAATAGAAGCATATGAAACGGTTATAAAGAGGCAATACAAACCACACCTTATGGGCCATTTTGTAAGCCAAGTCCAAAACAAAGAACAAAGTTATGGAGAAGCATTTATTTCTTGGATATGAGACTGTATTGAGGAAATGAAAACTACTCACATGAAGGCAACGAAGAGGATACTTTGCTACATAAGAGATACAGTACATGATCATTTTATTCTTTTTCACCTAATGCACAACTTGTATTTATTGCACTAATGACTAGGGCAGAGACCAAAATGGTAGAAGCACCATTAGATGTTGTATTTACTTAGGAGACACCATATGCACAGGGTCTCCAAGAAGCAACTTATAGCGATGGTCTCCACTTGTGAATTTGAGTATGTGGCGGCTTCATCATGCACTTGTCATACTATTTCGCTAAGGAGAATGCTTGAAGGCATATTTTCTAAAAGGAAGCTGCAAATTTACATGTGGGTAACAAGTCAACTATCGCATTGGCAAAATCAAAACACAGACTACCATGAGAGAAGCAAGTACATCAGTATGCGATTTTATTTCGTTAGAGAACGTGTCGACTAAAAAGAGATCGTGTTGATACGTGTCAAGATTTGCGATCAAGTAGCACCTAGCTTCGGTCTTCACCAAGCCCCCTGAAAGTGTAACTCTTCTCCAAATTCAAGATATTGCTTGGCAATGTCAAATGAAGCTAACTTTGGATTGATGGGAAGCTTTGTTGCATAAAGCACATGTAGTAGATTTCATCAGTTTCATGTGTTTTGGTTTATCCTTGCATTGTGTTTGATTAAAGGAATGTAGAAGGTTGCATGCATGTAAATCATGTAATGTGTGTTTTAAACTTGTGCCCTGAATAAACTAGGAGCATGTGAAACGGTTATGCGGATGCTATATAAACCCAACCATATGGGGGTCATTTTGTAACCAAATTAAGTCCACAATAAAGAAACGAAGTTAAGAAGAAGCATTTCTTTCTTGGCTTTTACACCATCTCCAACATTTCTCCAATGCCACAACTTGCTTGTTTTACTTTTCTAAGTTTAGCTCCTCCAAATAACAGAAAGAGAGAAGTTTAGTGCCTGAAGCATCCGCCAAACTTCCCATTATCTTTCTGCAGCAAAAACAACTCTTGGAATTCCACAGAGACCTCTCAATGGCGCCTATCTACGTGTTTGGAGAAGTCTTAAAAACGGATTGAAGACCAAAACCTTTATAGCTATGTGGAGGTGCCGCGCACGTCTACATTTTACAGCCTTATATTGCGATAATCCAGCAAGTATTTCTCTCACTTTTGTCTCTGGCCAGCATAGTGAGCTTTCCCTTAAATGGTTATTACAGCAGCACTGAACATTGTTTCCACATTTGTATAATATCATCAGTTTATATATACTATGTTAGAGGCCTCAACCTAGGCCTCTAACATTAATTTTGTATATAATTACTTCGGCCTCTCAATTGTTTGTGCCCAACAGCCCATGATCCCTTTTACATGACTCTTTCAGAGGGATGGAAAAGATCCTATGGCTTGCTGATCAGTGAGGTTACGGGTCTTCAAATCCCCATACAGAAACAAGAACGCACGTAAACAATACCTCAAAGTTGAGTCGTGATAAATAATTTCACACCGTTACAAAGTAATGTCCTATTTAGGCATGTACCCTTGGGGGAAAAAAAAGTGATGCTCCTCATTTTGGGAAAGTTCTTCGCACCATTTGTATATTTTGATGTTTTTTTTTTTACCTTAAAATAACATATTTAATTTCTCCAAAACTACGTCCTCAAAAAAAAGTGATACTCGATCCTCTCCATGTCGCCACATCTATCACAATATTTTTCTTGCATTGATGGATCGTACTACATGACTCCGCATCAACGGCATCCTCCTACTTTCACTACTCTCCGACAATCACGAAATATTCCGCCCATAATTTTATGACTGCAACAAAGTAGTAATAATAATAATAATAAAATGCGGACCTGGAATCTGTGGAGTACTCGTAGAGCCTTCCCTTGGTGGAGAAGACGATGAGGGCGACGTCGGCATCGCAGAGCACCGAGATCTCATGGGCCTTCTTCAGCAACCCAGACCTCCGCTTCGAGAAGGTGACCTGCCGATTGATCGTGTTCTCGATCCTCTTCAGCTGGACCCTCCCTCTCCCCATGTATGCACGTGTTTGTAAGATAATTGAATTTGGGTTGAGTTGAATTTGAATGGATCGAATCCAAACCGAGAAATTAAACAAAACAGGAAGGGAAGGGTGGTTTTTGGTTTGCAGGAGGAGGTGCGCTGAAGGCGGGTTTGGGGTGGGGGGTATAATTAAGGGGGTGGAAAGCGGGGGTTTTCGATATACCGGTGGTTTTTGGAGGCTGCGTTGTCGGTTCGCGATTGGGGGAGGGCGAGGGGCGGGGACGTCGCGTGTTTTCTATTGGTAGATGTGGGGGACTGGGGCAGTCGTTAACGCCCCCTCAGTTTAGGGCCACACGTTCCCCGGGGACTATGTTGGGTGTCCGTACGGTTTTATTATTTTATTTTGGGAGCTCTTTTTATGTTTTATTTTTCTTTTCCCCCTCATTAATTTTTTGTGAAAAATTTTTGAAGGACCCAAAATATGGGATTAATAGAGGGGACAAGTGAGGTGTCCCCCTCTTATTGGATAATGAGTTGACCATCATTAATGATGGCCAACTCATTATCCAATAAGAGGGGGATACCTCACTTGTCGGTCCCTGTAGCAAAGCTCATTTTTTGTTGGTCTTGGGAGCTGTCGCTTGCCAACTCACACTGGCGCTGTTATTTTGATGCACGTGTAAGGGAAACTGAGTCATCGGCGTAACGCGTTACATGGTATTACAAGAGTATCTTTGCTCTTCCCCCGCTTATTTACATCTTTCATGACATATATGATGATCGTTTAACTAGTGTAACTTATTCTTCCCCAAATGCCTACCCAGTAAATCATAGATCCTGATATAAATGAGTTAAGAGGGGCATATAATGATCACATATGATGATGGTCACGTGAAGCATTCCAGCGGGTTTATGGCGAGCGTTTGTGTCTTATTGCTAACAAAAATTTAGTGCTATAAGACTTTAATATCACTAGAGAAGATAAAATTATCACATCGGAAAGCATGTCTTACTAAAAATTGTTGGATATTTTGTTGGAGAAAAGGTAATTTTGTCTTCATGAATAGTCCCACATAGAATACTGTTATGAATATAATTAAAATGTGCGTAACGACTATACCTTATGAGGAACGTTACGAAAATTTATAACAAACGTTACTGTATTAATTGTAGGAATTGTAATGATTTTCTTAACCATATATATACACCCCTTATTTATTACATTCGGACAATATAGAAACAATTCTCTCTTCTTCCTCTTCTCTCCTCTGCATGTTATTTTCATTCATATGTTGGTACTATTTTGGGCAACCATTTTTCGTCTGAGTTGAAGCTCTGTTCTCTTGCCCGAGTACAGAGGCCGGTCATTTTCGAGGGTTTTTACCGCTAAGGGAGAGATGATCGTCTGCGTCAGAGCGATAGGCGGGTCCTCAATCTTCTAGGACAGTGTTTACACGACTGCTCCCGATCAGGCCAGACTTTCTTATTATTTTATTTCGGATTTATTTTACATGCTATAATTTTATTTGATAAATTGTTAACAATATAGAAGATTAAGTAGTTTATAGCTACTATTTTAAATTCGAAATTATTATTTAAAAATTATTATTTTTCATTCTAAAAAAAGTTTCGGTTGCTGTTCATTTTATCTAAAAAGAATTTACTGTTTACATAGAGCACTGTTCATCAGAGAATTATTTTCCTTGTTCATAAAAATATAATTATTGTTCATTCTAGGAAAATACGGTTTCTATATATGTTTTCTTACTTTATTTTAATTACTGTAATTAATTATAATTAATTAATGTTACTGTAGCAAATTACAATGCTATTTATAAATAGTAAAAGTAAGAAAATTCTAACCCCATGCAGTTACATCTTCAGACATAGACTACGATCATTTATGATCATATACCATGATTTTTTTAATGCCAACATGTTTTGTTGTCCTATCATTTTAATAGTGACTAGAAAGATTAATTTTTATAGCTCTTTATTTGACTGCATGTATAATATTTTCTCCATTGAGATTTCAGAAAATGATTAGAGTTGATATAAATATGCTCTGTCAACTGGTATGCCTAGTTACAGGAGATGTGATGAATCAATATCATGGAAAATCAAATCACGAGGTATGTCTTATAACTTCTATCTATATGATAAATAAAAGTTATATTAAAATTAGTCCATCAAATAATTAAATTGCTATTAGGTTCCCATATCCTTATAAGTTGTTTCAAATCAATCTCTCCTCTTACTACTTGTACTCTTGCCTGGAAAGATTGATTTAAAAATAACTTAAACAGGAAGGGGACCTAATGTCAAACAATATGAAGGACTAATTATAAAATAACTTGATAAATATATACAACGCCTGTTAGGCAAAGTTGTGATTCTAGATTTTGTAAAGTCTAAAAAGAATATTGTTGACCCATTAATAAAGGGTCTATCCAGGAGTGTGGTTCTGGATTCATCGAGGAAGATGGGTTTAACCCATAGATGAGGTCACTGACAGCGGAAACCCAACCCTTATTTGGAGAGGTAGTCCCAAAGTTGGTTCAATATGGTAGGAACAAGCTGGACTAGTGATACTCGTGTGGAGCATCGACTTAGATATATTTATATATCTTTATAGTAGCATGTGCTGCTTTCCATTCTCTATGATGACGATGCTCGTATAATACAGCTGGTTAGGCTGAGTTTTACTCTTAATAAGTCCGTGTGTATTTGCGGAGAGTATGATATCCAGCTGTAGTACCCTTGGAGGACTTACCTATGTGAGAGGAATCGTGATAGCCGTGGTTAGGGGTTGGGCTAACCCCTAGAAATTCTCATGAGTTGGTTATTGTGAGCATGACTTTTAATGCTCAACCCGCTTTGCTTAATAGATGAAGACGTCTTATGTGTGTTTTCGTCAATACCTGATTAAAACGGCCTAATTCAATGCCTATTCCATTATGTCCCTCAGGTGGAGATGAACTCACTAAGAAAAGGCTCAAAGCCGAAAGTTACCTCTCCCGAATTCACGATACAAAAGGTTGCCCAACCTATATTTGTTTTATGATTTATTGATTTATTTATTATTTTTGAGTTTTCAGTCAATATTGCATTGGGGGGGGGACTGTTGGCTATTTTGTTGGAGAAAATATAATTTTGCTTTCATGAATAGTCCCACATGGAATAGTGTTATGAATACAAGTAAAACGTGTGTAACGGCTATACATTATAGGGAATGTTACGAAAATTTATAACGAACGTTACCGTATTAATTGTAGGAATCGTAATATCTTTCTCAACCCTATATATACACCCCTTATTCACGTTCGGAAAATATAGAAACAATTCTCTCTTCTTTCTCTTCTCTCATCTGCATATTATTTTTGTTCATATGTTGGTGATATTTTGGGCAATCGTTTATTCGTCTGAGAATCTCTGTTCTTTCGCCCGAGTACAGAGACTGACCGTTTCCAAGAATTTTTATCGTTAGGTGAGAGAGGATCATCTGCTCCAGGACGATAGGCGGGTCCTCAATTTTCTAGGGCAGTGTTTACATGACTGCTCCCGATAAGACCAGACTTTCTTATTATTTTATTTAGGATTTATTTTACATGTTATAATTTTATTTGATAAATTTTCAATAAAAATACCCATATAGTAATTTAGCCAAATATCATTGTCAATATATTGTTACTTTGCGTTTTTTTTTTACCATTGTGTTGTCTTTATAAATAATCCTGCGGGGTCATGACTACTGACATTTCCATCTAATAAAAACATGGATACATTTTAGGAATTACCTTACCCAAAAGCATCATAGTTCTAGGTATTAGAGAAAACTACCGTGAATTTTCAAAACTAAAGAAAAATATAGGGTGAACCTTTACAAACTGAACAACGTGAGTTACTTTAAAATAACAGAGGGGAGGAGAGTAACACATGAGATATAATAATAATATATGATTCCGAAGACTAGGGCTTGATTCCCATGTCAATAATAATAATGATAATACATAATTTCAAACAACTCTAACATGCCGTGAATACATGTGATGACTTACCCGTTAGAAAAAAAAATTAAGTTTTACAAATTACAGTAATAGTTTTCTTTAATGAAATGAATTGTTGTACTTTCTATAAATCTTGCAAGAAATTCATAATAGTTCTATGAAATTTAGTAAAAGTAATGGTAAAGACACACTATTGCGCAGGGAGATTATAGTAACTGAAGTCTGTTGGGTATGTAATGTCCAAGAGGAGTCTATTTGACATGTTTCATAGAGTTGCTCATTTGATCGTCTTGTTTGGATATTGGTAAATGCCTTTCTTAAATGTTGGCTTGAAGGAATATTCCTTCAAGCGGTGGTTATGGGGATTGAAAGAGGCTCTCAAGGTACCACGTTTTGATCATGTCATTGTGCTTTTTTTGGCTCATGTGGAAAAATTGCAACACTATCAAGCATCAAGGAAAAAATATGGAGGGTAAGAGACTTGTTGAATTGGTCAAGAAATATCATATGATTTTCTCTGGTTGCAAGCGACCCCGACAACATGGTGGGTAGGGTGTTTTGAAACTAGATGGAGGCCACTAAACTTAGGAGTGGTGAAGGTGAATTTTGATGGAGCTATTTTCTCAAATGGTGGGGGTATTAAATAAACAATTATAGTACCCTTTGAGGACTTACCTACGTGAGAGGAACCGTGATGGCCGCGGTTGGGGGGGGGGGGGGGGGGCAGGGCTGACCCCTAGAAACTCTCATGAGTCGGTTTTTTGTAAGCATGGCCTTTAACGCTCAACCCGCTTAGTTCAATAGATGAAAACATATCGTGTGTGTTTTTATCAATACCTGATCCAATGGGTCTAATTCAAGGCCTAGTCCATTATGTCCCTCAGGTGGGGATGAACTCACTAAGGAAAGGTTCAAAGCCGAAAGCTACCTCTCCCGAATTCACGATACGAAAGGTTGCCCAACCTATATTTATTTTGTGATTTATTAGTTTATTATTTTTTAATTTTTAGTCAATATTGCCTTTTGGGGGGGACTGTTGGATATTTTGTTCATGAAAAGGCAATTTTACCTTTGTGAATAGTCCCACATTGAAAAATAAGATGAATAGTATAGGGTATATAATGGTTCTCTCCTTATTGGGCTTTGAATAGTGTTTTGGGTTTTATGGGCTTT